GCTTCATCTGCCTCGGGAGACTAGAACCACAATAGCCCAACTTCGCTCTGGCTACTGCAGCAGGTTAAACTCATAGCTGAGCAGATTAGACGCAGATGTGCCAAATAAGTGTCCGGCATGCGGAGAGACACCCCACGACTCGAAACATCTCCACGTGTGTCCGGAAAACCCGACAACGCTATCGCCTTTTTCCTGTGAACCGATCCCATTGAGGCTGCACACTTCTTAGGGCTTCCACTAGTGAAGCTTGACGACAACGACTGAGACATTAACGGATCTGGGCGGGGTTGTTGTAGCCGCTACAACAACAACCACAAAGGAAAAACAAAATACATGTAAAGTTTGGGGCGAATTGAGATTAGACCTAACACCCGCAATACAAAATACACGTGGTTTTTGTTGTTGTAATCTAAATTCGCTAGTAACATCACTTTGTATGAATTCGCCTTGGGCTAAGTCTATCAGACTCATTCCGTTATCGGACGTTTCGTCACAGAGACTAAATTTTCCGCCGGTGGGACCGAAAATCCCTTCCTGCTGCACCCTGGAATTGAAATATCCAAGAAGGTTTTTGGTATCGTGACGGGAGCGGGGCTCTAGAAGCTTTAATTTGTGTTTCGAATGGAATTTTTTAAGTTTTCAATGGAGTTTATGGCGTTTCCTTTTCTACCGAAAAATTATGCCTTTCCAGTGCCCTCTATGCACAAATATTAAGTAGAGGGCAATGAAAAAAATGATATAAAAGTTTTAAAAGCGCAATATAAGCAAATGATTCAATATTAAAAAATAATAAACTTCAAGGCTCATATCGTTACAGTCGTGTCTTAGCAACTCGCCATGTAAAAAGGCATATTTCGGATTATAACAGTCGTGAACGTACTGCTCGTCTCGTAATTCGCCAGTAACACCACCTTGTATAAATTCGCCTTGGGCCAACGAAATGTCGTCTCAAGACACGAATAACACGTAATATACACTGACACTTAAAAGTGAGTGCATGGTGTTTTTTGTTTAATATTTGCAATGTTTTTCAGGTTTAATTATTTTTTTTATAAGAATATGTTCATGCTTTAATAAAAACCACATAAGTCAAACTTTCAAACTTTATACAAAACTTAGAAAAATTCAACGAATTTTCGTCAAAATTTTGACCTTTTTAATCTGAATTTTAAGAACAATTTTGAGTACGCAGATATATCGGTTTTTTAATTCTAGTGAAACTAGTGCAAGTTTTAAGCGGCTAAAAAATCACGATAATTTTTAGTGAATTTTTTTCTGAGATTTCGCGGTTTTATGCATATAACAAGTGCAATTAGGAAAAATACAGCGTTAATTGTGTTCGTAAACGGTCATGCGCATTTTATTCTACAAGAATTTTCTTTTTATTTGTTAAAAACTGTAAAAAAGCCGTCAGCAATAAAAAATCATTAAAAATCTACGCGATTTTTAGCCGCTTAAAACTTGCTCTTGTTTTACTAGAATTAAAAATCCGATATATCTGTGTACTCAAAATTTTTCTAAAAGTTCAGATTAAAAAGGTCAAAATTTTGACGAAAATTCGTTAAATTTTTTTAGGTTCTGTATAAAATTTGACTATGTGGTTTTGATTACGGCATGAACCACATTTTTATAAATAACAAAAAAATGTTAACTTGAAAAACAGCAAATATTAAACAAAAAAAAAATAAACATGCACTCACTTTCGATTGCCAGAGTAGATTTAAAACTGAGCAAGGATTGTCACTACATTATGCCCCAAAAACTCTTTGAGGAAGTTACATATATACTGTTACACCCGCAAACATAGTTGACCGCAACTATGCTGCTGCCCGGCAGGATATCACCCTGATATAGGTGCGCTCCTCAGAGGTGAAAACCGTATGGTAGTAGGTGACTTTAATGCGCACCACGATCTTTGGCACTCAAGCCTGTCAAACGATCGTAGGGGAACAGACTTGGCTGAGCAGATAGACGATTCGACATTCTGCACAATGAACGACGACGCACCCACCAGGATTATGGGCAGCTGCAGTAGCTCGCCAGACATCACAATAGTCAGCGCTGGTCTGCTAAACAGCATAACGTGGCGACCTATGCTGACTCTAGCATCAGACCATCTCCCCATAGTCATCTCGATTGATAAACCAACCGACTTTGCCTCCGCCAAACACCGGACCTATATCAACTTTTCTAAAGCTGATTGGAAAGGTTACGCGGAGTTTACCGAAAACACCTTCGCAGCGCTCCCCACACCAACCGACGTCCATCTCGGTGAACGTAAGTTCCGCAGGGCTATCACTGCTGCTGCAGCTCGCTTCATACCGGCAGGATGTATATCGGACCCACGTCCAAACTTCCCTGCCGAAGCGGCTGTACTAGCTGATGAGAGTGATAGCCTTCGTCAGGCCGATCCCGGAGATCCCCGTATCAGGGATCTCAACGCGGAGATTCGGCAACTTGTAAACGTACATAAGCGGAAGAAGTGGGAGGAGCACCTGAAGACTTGTAATTTCACCTCTGGTGTGAGCAAGCTTTGGTCAACCGTGAGGTCACTGTCTAATCCGACGAAGCACGACGACAGAGTCGAAATTTCCTGCGGCGACCATGCTTCGTCGGACCCGGAGCGATGCGCGAGCTATTTTAGCCGGCAGTTCATACTGCATCCTCCGGTGGACAAAGCCAAGCGTCGAGTGACCAGAAGGCTGCACAAACTGCCAACAACTAGTGCCCCCCTTGCTTTCACTTGCGGTGAAGTTCAGGTGGCCATCGGGAAGGCGAAAGCCTCCAAAGCCATGGGTCCCGACGGAATATGCATGCTGATGCTGAAAAATTTGGGTCCTGCGGGGGTAGCGTACCTAACGGAGGTCCTCAACCTGTGGCCACTCTCATCATCCCAGACATCTGGAAGGTGGGGAGAGTGGTCCCACTGCTCAAACCGGGGAAACCCGCCAACAAAGGAGATTCGTATCGTCCGATTACACTCCTTTCCCCGGTAGCGAAGACACTCGAGGCCTTGCTACTCCCGTACTTCACAAACCACCTGACCCCAGCGAAGCATCAGCATGGTTTCCGTAAAGTGCACAGTACAACAACAGCACTTAACGCCATAAACACTCAGATAGCTCGTGGCCTTAACCGCAACCGTCCCTGTGAGAGAACGATTCTAGTAGCGTTGGACTTGTCAAAGGCGTTTGACACCGTCTGCCATTCCACGCTACTAGAAGATATAGAGGCCACCTCTCTCCCACAGAGGCTCAAACGGTAGTCGGCAATTATCTGAGTGGTCGACATTCGTCGGTAATATTTAGAGACAAAACGAGTAAGCAGCGAAAAATAAAACAGGGGGTTCCTCAGGGTGGTGTCCTTTCCCCGCTACTGTTTAACTTTTATATTTCAAAGCTCCCTCAACCACCAGAGGGAGTCTCGATTGTCTCCTATGCCGACGATTGCTCGATCATGGCGACTGGGAATGGAATTGATGACCTGTGTTCGAAAGTAAACGGCTATCTCTCCGAACTTTCTCGCTTCTTCACTGCAAAGTGTCTAGCCCTCTCCCCTACGAAATCCCCGCGACCCTGTTCACAACCTGGACGAAGGCGGTCAGGCTACCGCTGGGGATTCACGTCGATGACACACCAATTCCGACGGTGAATAACCCCAAAATACTCGGAGTAACATTCGACAGCCTGCTCTCCTTCTCTGCGCACTCAACCGCTATTGTCAATAAAGTACAGAGCCGCAACAAGGTCCTCAAGTCGCTAGCCGGCAGTACTTGGGGCAAAGACAAAGAAACGTTGCTGGCAACATACAAGGCAATAGGCCGGCCGGTTTTGAACTACGCAGCGCCAGTGTGGTCGCCAGGAACTAGTAGGACGCAGTGGACGAAGCTACAGACGGTACAAAATACGGCACTTAGGACAGCGACGGGATGCCTCCTGATGTCGCCCGAACACCACTTGCACGGCGAGGCGCAAATGCTCCCAGTTAAGGAGCATAATATAATGCTCTGCAAACAGTTCCTG